GGTGGGGCATATGACAATAACAATAAATTATTTGCAGTATTGCTATTCCTGAGGTAAACCTTTAGTAACAGCAAAATAACTCTGCGTTAGCTTTTTCAGCTAAAAAGTAAAATTTTGCATGAAGGCTAATTTACTGAATAAATATCTTTTATAGCATTTTGTAGGTCACAGAACACCTGTTGTTTGATCGAAGTTAATAATTCTTTTGCAGAAAGACACAGAGGACGAAGTTCGAGAGGTCATCAGGAACAACCTACATTTACAAGGAAAGGTAAGAAAAGAATCAGGCTTGTGACTGACACAAGTTACTTAAAGTGTACTTACACATTATGCCTCTGGTCTTCGATTTTGCCATGGTGTCAGGTTGTTGTCAGTTTATCTTATTCTTGTGGAAGTAATATCAAAGGACTGGTTTAAGAGAAATTCTTCAAATCTGGCACAAACATCTACTTTGACACAAGGATGAAGTGATTGGATTTTGATGGTCGGTGTCATAAAATTTAGAGTCAAGTATTCAGATTCAGTTTAAATTTTACACAAATCTAGAGTGACCTAGATGAACTAATGAACCTTTATGTCCATAAGATAAATAAGGCTACTTCACAGTGATATCATAGGTTATCCGAAAAATATAGAATAGGAAATTCAATCTGTCAACAAGTGATTGAAGGAACTCTATCACTCCACATAGCCCCTATCCCACTAACATCACTAAACTCATCTGTACAGGAGAGTTCAGGCTGTATCAAAAAGAATCATTCAATTTCAAAGTGCTTTAATTCTGCAGCCATTCACCGGGAACAACAGCAGTGGCTGCAGTGACTACAGTGAACTATGGGATGAAGTATTTCATTGATTATTCATAAACATTGAACATTTTGTATGTAAAACTTTATATTCAGCCATGTATTTTAAATTTAGTGTAAGCTTAAAATACAGCCTTGTGAAAGTGTATGATTTATTTTTGATACACTGTATATTCCAGAGTCATATGAGAAGCCATCTGCTTGACAGCTAAAGCTTCACCCACACTGGGTCAGGAAACAGGACAATGATCCCAAACACACCAGCAGAAAAAGAACTGAATCTGAAGTTATAGAGCAATCTAGAGTGACTGAAATACTGAACGTAGCAGGACCTTAAGAGTGCTGTGCGTAAATGAATGGCTTCAAACAATCAACTGAAGCAACGTTATAAACAAGGCTGGGCCAAAATTCTTCCACACTGATTTTAAAGACTTATGAAGTCATACAAAAAAACCCCAACCAATTCAAGTTATTGCCAGCAAGGTAGTTATACAAGCTACTGAATCATGAGCTTTACATGCGCTCTTTCTGTGTTTTGGCTTTTGTTTTCTTAAAGTCGAGAGAGATGTAAACAAGTTGCTAGATGTTGGTTCGTACTATATATTTACAGTGGGGCAAAAAAGTATTTAGTCAGCCACCGATTGTGCAAGTTCCCCCACTTAAAATGATGACAGAGGTCAGTAATTTGCACCAGAGGTACA